TGTGTACTTCGTCTTTGTTCACCATAGATGCTTGAATGCAATTCACACTTTCTGCTAAAATGTTTGTATCAAGTAACTTCCTATTTAGACTGATTTCTTTTAAAACCATGTATTTTATTATGCTATATGCCTCAGAGAATGATAGAAAATAATCTTAGATATACTATACCAAAGAAAAACTGTTCATATCTTAGCACTGATACTCTAAAATGTTTTGCCTTCTTAGATTCAAATTACAGCTCTTTCAAAAAATGTTGGAGTCTCTCTCAGTTATCCTGCAAGGAATATTCATCATTTGGCAAATTGTTCTCACTAAAACAAATTCACCAAACCAAAGAGTTTAATTGCTCCTCCTTGAAGCCCTTTCTTCCCAGACTAAGAGATGTTTGTTGCTGATTTGGAAAGCCTTGCCCAAGAAACAGATTTCATTATTGTAATGCTGCCTTCTTTGATCTTAGGATTGGTATCTACACCTTAAGTGCAGAATTCAGTTATCTTTATTTCCTTTCTCTTTTAATAAGAAAAATACCAGAATGCAAGAATAGTTTGCTAGAAATTCTATGTGAAAGAGCATAAGATATTTTTTTTGTAAAATACAGGACAGGTCAGACTGACTAAACCAGCATTTGGATACATAGATAAAATGTGTAGATGCTTTCTTTAAAATAAGCATGCTCATGGGTCTTGCAGAGTCTAATGTTTGGCAGTTATCCTCTTTGCGCTTTTCCTGCAATAGTTTGGCAGTTCAGCTTTCACAGGTTTTTTTTTTCTCTAATGTCTTATGTTTCTTCACTAAATCCCTATCAGAAAACCAGACAGAAGACTCTTATTTATTTTAAATATCTTAGGTTTAGCATCTTTTTTTTTTTTTTTTCACCATTTTCTTGCTTACTGTAGCAAGACCTTTGCAGATGGTACTTGGTTACTTGAAAGTGCATAACAGTATTTTCTTTGTAGCAGATGGATTTAAGACTTTTAGTTCCCAATAAATGTAGGTTTACAATACATAACTTTACAGGATTTGTGTTGTATATAACAGGTTTGAACATATTATCTCAGAATTCATCTGCATGGCATTTTCAGCTTATCCAGGGCCCATGCCAGTATTTTAAGTAATAGGGAGAGCATAGTGATTGATAGCAGCTAAAGGCGTGATTTTGAATAGAAACAAAGGTTTTAGAACAGAAGGTGTCAAATTAAACTTTGTCAGTTTGAAAAGTAGTAACATCCTGAAAGTTCTCCAAACATATTTACATGTGGCTAATGTTTATATTTTGCTTTGTACTCTCTTTATATTCAGTGTAATGTTGCCTGGCAAATTTACTCTGTTTTAAAATCCAGGTTGTTCCCAATGTCATTGCAGAGTTTTGGGGGGTTTGTCTTGCTGCATAGATATATCAGCTTAATTATTTAATGGCTGGTTTGTTTTGTTTCTTTTTTAATTATGTACCGTATCTACTGTAGAAACAGGTTGTGATCTAATCTGAGTTATAAATATTTCCTTATTATTTTGTGGTCCTTTCCACTTCCTCTAAGACTGAAAAGACATGAAAAAACAGAGGTCCAAGCCCTCCTTCAGAGTAAACTGAACTAGACAGAAATTGCTCTAGATTTAGGTGTAAGAGGAGAAAAATCAGCTTTGTTAGGTTCACTTGTAAATTTAACTGCATTAACTACAGCACTTTATACTTCCTGACCAATAATTGAAAGAACTTAAAAATTTTACAGAATTTAAATTTCACCATCATAGAGGTCTGTATGATCACTTTTCCTAGAATTTACAAGACCATTTAAAACGTTCTTGTTTAGCTGACTTTTATCGATGACCTATATGTCAGATACAGCATTCTGAACGTGAAACTAGAAAAAATATTTAAGGTTTTGTTTGTTTGCTTTGAGCCAAAAGAAAGCATATTGGTATAAAGTTTGCAGTCTCCTAAAAAAGTAAATCCCTATAGCCTCTGTAACTGCCCATTAACTTTATTTTCTGAGGATATTTCTGAGATGAATTTTCATCAATATTTCCAGAATGAAACCATGAAATCAAAAAAATTGTTTCTATGCTTGTAATTTTAGAATAATTATGTTGGTTGTTTCCACTTTGCCCATCATGTGTTTAATCAGATTATGTTTACTTCTTTAAAAACTTGATGAACCCAGTGGAAAAGAGACATTTTGGTAGAAGAGCAGTACAGTCTGTGTACCGTGTCAGAAGCATCTAATTTCAGTATCTCAAAATCACTGCTTCCTTGAAAGGCTAGCAGAGACATGCTTCAGGTTACAATTCATCAAATCATACTTAGATAAGGATTAGAAGTATTATTTCAGTGCAAAAGTTGATAGAAAAATACTGAAAATCGAATATTAGTCATCAGTAATTAATAAAAATAAATTCTAATCTAGTAAAGACAGGAACAGAAAAGACAGTAAGGGGAGAAGGAATTTCACAATAACTGTTGTTGTGAAATATGTTTAATCAGCATAATATGATTGCTTAGGAATTTTTTTACCACTGGACATTTAAAAAGCATTTTTGCTGTCATTAAAAAAAATTAAAATCTGTGTATGTGTGGTGCAATTTATTTTCCAGTTTGTCTGTATACTTTAGAGAGCTGCCACGGGAATGGAGAGGTTGTCTTGTCTTATTTTGCTTTCACCAAACTGCTGTGATAATCAGCCCTGCTCTGTTTCACTACCATTAGAAAGCAAACCAACAGTTTCAATGTGAAGCAGTGCAGACTTCTCACAACCAAAGGACAGTTTTTATTGTTCGGGGCAAGCTGGTTTGTGGTTTGGGGTTTTTTTGTTGTTGTTTGTTTGGGTTTTTGGTTTGGTTTGGTTTGGTTTTCAATTAAAAATTTTATAACAGCATTTCAATTAAAAGATCTTTATTTAGTTCTCTTCTTCTCCCCTCCATTCCCCACAAACTACCTATGCTTTCTGATTGCACTGCCTTTAACTGCAGAAAACTGCTGTTGAGTGTAATCCTGCATGTATCCCTGTGGAAGTAAGGTAGGCAGAGAACAGCGAGCAATATGTTGATTTTGTTAGGGGCAGGGAGAGTTCATACATTACCCTGCTAACACATCCCAGGGTGCTTTAAAATGGGGAGGGAGAATTCAGAGCCCCTGCTACTGCTTTGAAAACACGCCATACGATTCCAGCTGGGACAGGCTGTATGTTATGTGCTCTATATGAAGGTGTCTGGCCACATTTCCCAGTCAGCTTGCTAAGCCTTGTGACAATACTCAGCATCCGTCCTTAGCACGTGGTTGAAGGATGGGATGCCCTCCATCCCCGGGGTGCAGGGGCCCTTCTGCTGCTGCTCCCTCTCCTGCCTTCCTCTCTACCTCCTGAGCACCCAGCAGATTTTGGCCCCATTTAAATTTTTGCATTCTCAGCTCTCCTACCACCATCTCTCTAACATTTGTCATTTTGATTATTTCTATTTCTCAGGGGCATTTTCTCCTATGTCATTTGTTCAGTTTTCCACTTATATCCAAGAGAATATACTTCCCATTTTTCTAAACACCTCACTAAATATTTTCATATACAATATGAGCGCATTAAGATTATTTGTTTACTTTCACCTCTTCATATCATGGCAATATTTTTACACTGCATTTATTAACTGCTAGCTGAAGATATGAATGTCTTCAAGAAAATACTTATCTATGTTGTATCTGTTGTATCTAGTAGTAAACTAGTCTGGATAAACCATTTTTGAACTACCAGTACATATAAAAAGGATCTAAAAGCTTCTGTACATGTGTATTATTTGTTGATTCAATAAAAGGTCACATTATCTTTCCTGCAGCATTAGAAAATAAAATTGCATGGACCTAGTTTTGAAAACAGATCCTTGAAGCTAGACGAAAGGAAGTATGCATGTTTGATACATGTAATATTTTGTTTCTAACTTATAATATACCAAAAATATACTACATATGCACACTGTGCTAGCTATAGTGTTTACACTCTTCTTTTGAAACTACCAGTGCACAATTAATAAAAATATCCTCAGTTAAATTTTAAGAAGACATAAGAAAACAGTTTAGATTTTCAAGATGAACTTGTTTGTATCTTTCAGAAGCAAATTAGCAAGTGCCACAGTCCTTGCAGGGGATTCTGTAGCCAACTTCACAGCATGTATCCTAAAGCCAGGTCTGAATTAGTGTAGGTAAAGTCTTAGGCAACTTGCTGTCCTGTGATCTGAAAGCGGTATAAAAGGGTATATCAGAAGCTTGAGCTATGTCATGCCCCCCAAATAAAGCCCTAATAATGTACATGAAACAGAGACTGTTGGGTTTTTTGGGGTCTGTGAGAAAAATCCAGGAACAGATAATCATCTATCACTTGAAATAAGTTCACTTGCAGAGGCACCTCTATTCATAGCAGATAGGAAGAAGATACTACTTGCCTGGGTCTAGTCAAAGGATTCCTGTCTTTTGAAAGGCCATTAGGGAGCTCTTCTACCACTAAGTGTAAAATTAGGCAGCCCTACAGTCAAGGCGAATATTTGAAAGTTCTTTTGTGTTTTGAGTAGTAGTACCAGGATTTTAAAAATTGCTCAGCAGACAATCTGCCGGCTCCTGAAACACAGTGTCAGTGCTTTTGACGTAGCCTTGCATAAAAGAAAATAGACAGCAGAGATAATACACTGGTGTCAGTGAAACTCCTCTCCTGCATAGGGGAGTGTGTTAAGGATTCTTCCTTCATCTACCAGTTGGTTTCTAAGCAAACACACTGCAGTGCTGTGGTGTGGGACCAAGGGGAAGGTGCTTTCCAAAACATTGGTAGTTGGCAAGGGTGTGTGAGGCAGCGTGGCAGCCTCAGCGTGCTGCTGTTTGCCTTGAGCCCAGCCTGGTACAGGGACAGCCTGTTCTTACTGGGGGGAGAGCCTGGGAGAAATCAGTGCTGCTGAAGTACACGTTTCACCCTCGTTTTGCCCCTTGCAAAGTGAGGAAAAAAACTAATGTTTTGCTGGTGTTATCTTCAAGGGATGGCTCTGTGAGCTGTTACGTTGGAAAGAAGATCCCTCACCAGAGAACAGGACCCTCTGGGAGAATCTCTCCATGATCCGAAGGTTCCTCAGTCTTCCTCAGCCTGAACGTGATGCCATTTATGAACAAGAAAGCAATGCAGTTCATCACCATGGTGACAGGCCTTCCCACATTATCCATGTGCCAGCAGAACAGATTCAGGTTAGTTTACCTTGGCCAATCCCACAGAGCGCTAAGTAAATAAAGCTTTAAATGGAGTAAAGGAAATTAGTGTTTCTTTCCTCCTGGCCAGGCTAAATGCAGGTCTCCTGGTACGAGATCAGATCACACTGCCGTCCGCCACTGGACTTGAAAGGAGAGCATGGGACCACCCACGTTTTTTGTTCTGGTTGGGTGTTTTTTCGCAGCCGTGCGTGGACGCGGTGACACCCGTGTGCCGGGCAGGATGAGCCGCCGTGCTGGCCGCCCCTGGCGGGACAGGCATCAGGGCGGGAAGGCAGAGGTGTGCAGGTGTCCCACACCTTACAGCAAAGCGGGAAAACCTCGCTGCACTGCTGTCCCAGAGCTAAGCTCGAACCCTCAACAGCAGCTGCTCACCCCTGGGTAGGAGTGAAGGGAAGGGGATTCCTTATCCCATTTTAACCCCAGTGGAGGCTGGGGTGAGTCAATGTTTTGTTTGTTTTTCCTTCAGAGCCCCTCTCCCACCACCCATGGGAAAGGAGAGCATAGAGGCGCTTTCTTACCAGGCCTGCTGACCGCTGGACCTTGGCTGGGTGCTGCTCCGCAGGTGAGCTGGCACGAGGGCACCGTGTCAGGGAGAGAGAGGAGGGGATGCAGGACCCACACCATGGGGCTTTGAAACAGCTGCCATCTGCTCTGGGGTAGCCCCAGTAGTACCCCCTCCTCCAGAGGCTGCACCCACCCTTTGCTCACACAGGCACCAAGAATTGGGAGCGTGGCTGGCTGTTTGGCTATATATTCTAGCCCAGGTTGGCGGCACAAACTGCTGTCTCTCTGAGCTGGGGACTCCTTAATCCCTTCTTATGAAAGACCTGAGGTCAGCCTTTTAACTGCTCCCTTTTAAAGGGCAAATATTAGCCAGATATTAGCCCATGCATTCCCAGCATCCACTGAGACCCACTGTATCATTTGTATTACCTATGCAGAAAAATATTTACAAAGCTAGGAGGATAGAGTTATTTCCCAGCCAGAAACAACAGGAGTGTATATTAAAGATAAAGTAAACTGAATAAGACAATCCCTTAGGATATCAAGTACTAAAATAATTGTGAAATTCTGGAAACTTGCTGTTTGATTTAGCAAAAAGAGAGAGAAAGATCTATATTAAGTAATAAAACAGCACTTGTTTGAAAATGTGCATTGTTTTTAATAAAATCGCCTCTTAAGGGGATAAAAGAAGAAGCTTATGCACAGTATAAACATTCAACCACTGAACCACTTGCTTAGATTTTCTTGCCTTGTTGATAAAAGTTGTGTGTTTGATCTCACAAATACTATTCACATAAGCAGTTGCATTGTAATCTCTTAATATGACTTGGAAGAGTAAGGATTGGGAGATTGGGCCTTAGTATTGTCTCTGCTTTGCTACACAGTAATTATTGTAGATGCGTAAATATGTAGCTAAGACACAAGTTTTCAAACTGTATATACTAAGCCTCCAGTCTTGTAAGAATTTAATGTGCGGAGAGTAGTCTTGAATGTCTTTAGGATTGAAGCCTTGAATGGGACTGCTCACAGGCTGTAAAACATGAAAGGATGTGCGTAGGGATGAGTCAAGAGCCCTAATTTCACTAGCATTTGTGTCAGATCTTACAATAAGAACATCACTTAAAGCAGTGCCTTCTAAACTGCTTGTTGAGGCCTATGCAAAATCTCCACAACCACGAGTGGCACTGCAACATGGACAGAATTCTAGTTCTTCTGATATTTGTACCTCTCATACAGTATTTTGTGCTTCTTAGAGTCTGCAGGTGAGATGCCACCGGGAGCTTGGGAACCATTATGGACACACAAAAAATTGTCGAGGGGAGACACGCAAAGGGAAATGAAATGTTGTGATAGCAACTGCTTGTTTTGCTGCTGTTGTTTTTTAATAATAACTGGTGGTTTGTACCATATGACAAGAGATTTGCTGATCCAAAATATCTTACTAACCAGTGCTTCCTGTGCTGTGAAGCAAAAAGAATTGTCAACAAAAACAGTAGCTGATAAATTTGCTTTTGATTTTAAACATGATCTTACGATGTACCGTACTCTGGTGGTGGATGAGAAAAACATTTCTGTCCCTAGGGCTCAATGCCTCACCTTTTAAGAATGTTTCTGAATCCATGCTTGCAAAACTTTATTTTAAGCTCTTGTTAATAATTTACATCATGATTTGCTTTATCTTATTCTTCTGATGTGTATACTGGCTCATTTTTATTGCCTGAGTTTTTGGAATGCAGCATGTTCCCTTCTAATAATAATAGTGCAACTTCGGTAGAGTTTTGCATCTTAGTGCTTTATAAATATTAACTAAATAATCCCCAGCACAAACACAGAAAGAGGTAAATATGTCTGGTCCCTATTTATATGTCAGGATACTCAAACATAGGCAGGACAGACTCACAGGCAAGAGAGGTCAGTGCCAGAAGGGCAAATACAGATTCCCTACCTCCAGATCTCTCAGACCTTTCCGAGGCTGGGTTTGAGAGCATGCCATTAGGCGCTTCCGCTAACACGTTCTGATGTTGCACTTGCATGTTTGATGAGACTTCAGTGCTATGATAAGGTCAGATCAGTAGTGGGATATTTCCACACTTAGCTGAATCCCTGATCTCCCCAGTCCCTTAGTCTAGCTATTGCTAGAGATTTGCAACCCTTGTTTTTGGGCAGCAGCCGGTGCTGCTGGCAGAGCTCTTGTGCATTTGCCCTCATCTGGCACTTTTCTCACTTTGCCCTTGCTACATTTCTAGCTAAGCTGGTCAAGTTAATCCTATACTATGTCACCTACTTAGCATTTTGTCTTGTCTGCACTTGACTCATGGAGCATGTTCATTAAAATTTGTCAGCTAAACCACACCAATGTATTGTCATCAGAGCTTTCAGTCAAAGCCGGTATTTTCCTTCCACCTCTCAGTGCATATCCCACTGTCTGTCCCTCTCTCCCTTGTCTCTGCGCACTCACATACAGACACATGCAAGATATGCAAAGAGTTACTAAGTCATCTTTTAATTTTGTTTCAATAATAATGGGCCTTTTTCTTTATTTCTATTTTTTTTTCTTTTTTTTTTCCCCCCTTTTTATTGTTTATACTTACTAAGCCTTTGTTAAAAGCTTTGCAGTTTGCCCGCCAGATTTTCTTGGTATCACTAAATATGAGCAGCAACTCATGTCCCAAAAATAAATAAATAAATAAATAAATGCTGTGCTTTGTCTTGCAGCAGCAACAACAGCAGCAGCAACAACAGCAGCAGCAACAACAACAGCAACCAGGTCCCAGACTACCCCCAAGGCAACCGACAGTAGCATCACCAGCTGAATCTGAGGATGAAAATCGTCAGAAACCCCGACCACGAACCAAGATTTCTGTTGAAGCCCTAGGGATCCTACAGAGTTTCATACAAGATGTAGGCCTGTATCCAGATGAAGAAGCAATCCAGACTCTTTCTGCTCAGCTTGACCTGCCCAAGTACACCATTATCAAGTTCTTTCAGAACCAGCGATATTATCTCAAGCACCACGGGAAGCTGAAGGACAATTCTGGTTTGGAGGTGGATGTTGCAGAGTATAAGGAAGAAGAGTTGCTCAAGGATTTAGAAGACAGCATCCAAGACAAAAATGCAAACACGCTTTTTTCAGTTAAACTAGAAGAAGAGTTATCAGTAGAAGGGAACACAGAGATTAATGCTGAATTGAAAGACTAATCTAAAGGTATTATTTTCTTTCAACAGTGCCACTGGTATTTACTAATGAAATGAAAATTCCATCTTGCGTTCTGTCAAAAACCTTTATTATTCATTGTTTGGCCAATGAATCTTCCAAAACTTGCACAAAAGTTGAAAAATGGATAATGCAGACTGCACTAGATGTTTTACTCTGTTTTACAAACTGCTTTGCAGCAACAGATGAAGCGTTGAGGATTGTTTGATATTAATTTGTGTTCACTGGATACACTGTGAGTGTACCCAATAAGCATGATACCAGTGATTTTGATTCTGGAGCCTTCAGACAAGCATTACAACTTTTGTGATTTACTGTTTTTTGTTTCTGTTTTGTTCTTGGTTTTTTTTAATTATTACTGTAGCACTCCACACTTGATCTTTGGAAACTCACATTTATTTAAAAAAATAAAATTAAAAAGAGTTTGTTACTCTTGTTCTATTGTATGTTACAAAAGAACTATAGACTGTGGAATGCAGTTTAAAGATAACATATGCCAACAAATGCCTTGTATTATATGGCACTGCCGTAATTCAGATTTGTTTTCTTTTGGAAATAAAGGTCACTGTATTTTTTTTTTTCCATTCTCATTGTTACATGGTTTTAAAGAAAATGAAAAAGAAAATGTGAAACACAATTTAGTCCTCATTATTTATTTGTAGATCCTGCAGCATCATGTTGTAATTAATTTTTTTTGGAAGTTTCCGTTAAATGTAATATTGCTTCTCTTGTTATCATACTGATTTTTTTTTCTATTTATAAATGTATTTTGATGGGCAGTAAAACAAAGTGTCTTAAAAGTTTTAAATAGAGAAAATGTGCTTTACACAGTTGCCTATAAAAAGTGCTCTATGTTATCCAAGCAATTCATACTATAAGCTTCACTCTTATTGTTGTATGCAATTTTTACTATCATGCAAATAAGCTTAGGTAAATAAAACTAATAGATCACCTTAGAAACTTATGCAATTAATGTGAAAATAATTGATGTTTGCAATGTGTCTTCCTTTGGTTTACAATCAATTTTAAAGCTACAGCTGTATAAATTTTCTGTATAAAGGTGTATTTCTTTTTTATGAGTTTATTGCTATGAAAACACCAGTTATTTTGTTACAGCTGGCTGTTTTTATAAGTGTATCACAATTTTCTTTATGCAGAAATGTTCTGACTAGGAGTGGTTATTGACTGTAACTACACAATTAAAATTGTTTGTATGGTATGATATGGCAGGGTTTGTCTGTGTATGTGTATATCTGGGAGGAATAACTTGTTCTTAGTGCACATTGTACCTTCTTGCCCCACTTTGAAGATGACATTTCAATTGTTCTCCTTTAAAATCACAGGCAGATTTTTATAATGACCTTCTTAAAATTTGAATTTAGATAACATACTTCAAAACAAAACACAGTTTGGTTATGAAAATCATAACCTGTCTTTTCTTGGTTTAAAAACTTGCCTGCCCAACAGAGATAGCAGGATATTATTGAGTCAAAAGGCTATCAGGCATAAACATATTTACAGTTCCTGGCAGTAATGCACTTATAATGGATACAGCTGGTTTTATTTTACAGTAGAATTATTCTAACACTATTCCTTGCACTAATGTATAAACATTAAAAAAACAACATTAATAGTCACAAAGTAAATAGGAAAGATGGGCTTTGCACATTGCAGTCCCCTTCTAAGCAGGACTATTTGTAATGATCACTAATAAGGTTCTTGATAAAGCCAAAACAATTGGTGAGCTCTGAATTTATGCAAAGCTCATGTCTAGGCTAAAGAAAGATCTGCAGCTGGAAGTGGTGAAGTACACACCATTGTTCTCTTTTCCTAGGAGAGAAAGAATTTACACCCGTGTGCAATTCAGGATTTGAATTCAGCACAGCTCTTCTGAAATGACTAAAAGTTTGCAAAACTCGGAATGAGTTTCAGAGGCTCAAATGACTCTTAGGTTGCATCAAATTTCTTCTTTTATCTTCATTAAGTTCTTTAGGAAGATACATATTAGGCAGCAAAGCAGGTTTTCACTCCACACCTTTAAAACTGCCGCAGGTTGCCCAGGTCCTCTGGTCACAGTACCCTTGGGGTTCATCATAGAATCATGGAATTGTTAAGGTTGGAAGGGACCTCAAAGATCACCTAGTTCCAGCCCCCCTGCTGTGAGCAGGGGCCCCTACCACTAGATGCTGCGGCACCTTTGGCTGCTGCTGGGACTGTGTTGGGGCTGCACCATGATTTGGGCTTGGGATCCAGTCCAGTTAAAAGAAGAGAGTCTCAGTACCACTCTGGGAGGGAAGCAAGCTTTAGGAGAGACACAGATGTGTAATTCGGCAATTGCAGTGCAAGGGAAGGACAGTCAAACTGTGCTCTCTCTTAAGGCACTTGTAGTAGCTGTAATGCTATTAATAGCCCAAAGCCATGCTGCTTGGAAAAGGGCAAAACCTAGTCCAGGGAAGTCACTTGGATTTCTTCATATATTTCAGATGGGATCATTACTTTGTACAGGCACACAGCTGCTCAGAGCTAGGACAGATCACTGTTCTCAGCCATGGAACACGATTAAATGTAGTCCAAGCAATGCAAACTTGAATTGATATGCAGGACGATACAACTGGCACCCTTGGGTAGGCTGGATTGCCAAGTGACAGTTGCAATAAGGCTCCCTGAGAAAAAAAAAAATACACTTTTAAACTAATATGCAGTGTAGAAGGGAAAATGAAGCAAAGACTTTCCTGAAATAGTTTCTCTTCATGTTAAAAGCTAATACATGCAGCACTGCTAATACCAGAAAAAGTGCAACAAGTCCAACACCCTATGCAAGTGTAAGAAGAAATGTTTATAAAATCATCTTTGCTATTTTGAAAGCAATTTCCTTTTCTTTTATCCTTTTAAATTTTATGGGTGTTGAAGTAGAAGCCACGTATGCTTGCAGATGGTTATTATAGCTGTTTCCTTCCTGTTTTCTTAGTTTTTCCTTCTCCTAGCCTAGCTTAGGTTACCTTCCAAGTAGTTCAGCCTCTGTAGTCACATATTACCTGCCCACAGGCTTGACTCAGTGGGTTTCTGTGTCTCAGTGGGTGGACTGCAAGTACGGTCTTTTAACTTGGCCTAAGCAACAAAAAGCAGTTTTATTAAATCCTTAGCAGTGTCTTCAAAGGTGATAAGAGTATTAAAGATCCCAACTTTTATGTGGATGTAAGAAATTTAATGGTACGGTATTACAAGCATATGCCACTTTGACTCATGGACCTGTTAGACTACCTAGAAAATTACCTTGCTGTCCATTTCTGTTCCTTTTTCTCACCATCTGGTGTAATTCTACAAAAAAAAACCCTTTCCATTTCTGCAAAAATTAAGAAATCAAGCTGGACATCCGTAACAAAGAACACAAACTGAGATATCAAAAACACTGTTGGGAAGTTGATAGTAAGCCTCACTGAGTAGGACTTTACTGAGACTGTATGAAAGGAGTATTTAATATATACTTAGGGAAGTATGGGGAAAGAATATTGCTTGCTGGGAATCAAGCAGCAAAGCTTAATGCCTAAAAAAGAGGGAACTGAGTGCTGGGTGGGGATGGCAGGACTAAAATGCAGTTTTATAGCAAAAACTAAATATTTACCAAGTTTTATGGTGTTTACCATAAAAAGTGGAGTATTTTTACTCCCTGCTGATCCCGGTAATCTATATTTAACTGACAAAAGATTTATGTGTATGTGCAAGAGTCCCCAGTGTTTGTTTTTCAATCCTGAAAGAAAACCAAAGAGGCCCCAGATTCCAAGAAGTTCATGGCTTGGGGACAGCCTCAAGTCCCCATCACACATATAAAGGTTGCTTATCATTATAAAGACTCCCTGCCCTACAATGTAGGATCTTAAATTTGTGTTTTGAATAGCTACTTCAGGTTGGTCAGATGTCACAGAAAAAATGTCTAGGTTTTAAATTATTCCACTTATTTTTTTCTTTAAGCTAGGAAGATGCAGCAAATAGAGAAAGAAGGCAAGGTTCCCTCAAACCAGCGATTTTTAATATTTTTTTTCAGTGATTTACTGAGTCAGTACATCGGTTGTGTGCTGGGAAAGCACCAAACATTGCTAAGATCATTTGCCAAAGCAATGCCCCATATATTGAGAGCAGTATGAATTAGGTACCACAGAAGATCTACTTGAGCATCAAGTATTAGCCATTCTGCTTAACTTACTGAACTTGTGCTTTGATGTCAGGTACACTGCAGAGACCAAAGATATTTTGATTTTTACATAGTGATTTATAGTGTGCTTTGAATAACAGTCCCATAGCAAAGCAGGGATATAAATATACTCCCAGGCCTTTTTTTGCACACAGATGTAATTTTAGTTTGGTCTCCTCACGGTGCCTTGTGTCCACACAGTCTTTTACTACAACAAATGAGCTAATAATTCAAACTGCAATAAGGGATCCTCCTTGGAGCAGGAGTAGTGCTACTTGGCAGAGAGTTTGTTTGCTTTCAGGTTCATATGGGAGCCTTCCCGGCTGCTCAGCTGCTGGCAGTCCTCCTGTTATCCCACGCCACAATTGTTACACACTGGCCTGGCCTGGGTGCCCTTCCTGCTCTGGGTTATCTTGCCCAAATGTCATCTCTCCTGGTTATGTGCCAGCTATGCAGATCTATGTGCCACAGCTGAATACGAGGCAATAAGGACTGTATTTACCTGATGTACCTATGGTACATAGCTGTGATGTACCTATGTACCCTTTATCATCACCATTCACGCTGTGAGCTCTGTGAAGTTGCTACAATAGGCCACAATGCCTTGGAAAGACCGTGTCCGCTGCAGCAAATCCACCAACAAGCAAGTAGTTTCTGACCTAATGGAGTAGAGGAGTAAGGGGACATTCATCCCAGAGGGGGATGGGAAAAGGAAAAGGAAGGGTGCCAGAGAAAGATGGGAACATCAATAAAGTCACAGTAGCTACTTCTGCATGGAGGAATTCCTTTTGCAAGCTGTGCTGCAGCGATACCCAGAAATACTTCAAGGTACTGCCAAGACTCCATAGAAAATGTTTATGACCTGAAATGTGTCATGGTCTCAAATCATGGGATTTCCCTTAGAAGGCAATATCTAGAATTACACAAAAGCCTCCTCAACTGTCTGTGGCAAAAGAGGTCTTCTAACTGTTTGTTCTCCAGTACTGTCCCTGCACATGGGACATGCAGGATTCTTAGTCAGCTGCAGACTGACAACTACCCTGGCAGGTGCAGTTAGGAGTCTCTTTCCAGATTACTAGCTTGCCCAGACAACATGCTAAAGAAACATCCAGCCTCTAAAACCTCTCATTTTAACTCCAGGATCACATCCAACCACAAGCAGCATGTTTTCAGTCTTTAACCTACTTTTCTGAGCTATCTGCTACAGCCCTGCTCCTCCTTGGACCAAAAGTGCCACAGGAGTTAAAAAACTCTAATGTGTTGTATGGTCCAAATGTTTGTCACAGTGCAAGAGAATACACAGAGTTAGAGAGGTGCACACAGTTCTGAAGTTTTGGGGCAAATAAGTTGCCCCAAGAGGCTTCAGTGATAGTTTTCATGCTGCCATAGTCATCTCAAAGCATCGGTCACAATGATTTGAAATTGCCTGGGCCAGAAAAAATAATGCAGAATCCTACTAACTTTGCAGAGGAGTTTGTCCCAAAACAGGATTTAAAGCAGAGTGCTCAGTTTTGTCATTCATATTAAAAAATAACAACCTTTTCAGGACCAGCCTTACAGATGTTGTTGTCTTTCCAAATCCACATTAAAGCAGGACACTGTCCTGATAACTAGCAGCACTGCCCACAGCTCTGTGTCCCTTCTTGTCCCATCTCAAGGGGGCTCCCCAGCATGTAGCATGCCCCCAAATGGCTTAACTCATCTTTACTAGCCCATCCTCAACCTAAACACAGGTTTTCATTCACAGTTTTTCACCTGGGAAAAGCAATTTAAAAAACCACTTACCTTAGAGCAAACCACAGCAGGGCAAAATATATGAGGATGTCCTTTCAAAAGTGTAGGAAAAGTGATTCTTGATAATTATCAGTATGACATCTTGGACTGAGAAGTAAGTACAGGTGGTG